TGCGGGTCTTTAGATGGATTTTGGAAGGCCTTCACACCTTTTTCACCCAAACCCACAAGCTCTGAGCACCGTTTTAACAATGTTTCTGCTTAAGGAGAATTGGAGTTGCAGGTTTTGGGTTTCAGGTCTGTAGCTGAAGGATGGGTTTTGGTGACATCGTTTCGCCAGTGATTTCCGTTTCACCACCGCTTTTCTTGTGTGGGTTTTGCTTGTTTTTGCTTGCTCGATGCAGCAGCCGAGGCCCGCCGACGCCACGAAAACTAGGAGGAGCAAACGAGAACCTTCCGCTGCCAGAAAGAACGTGGCTCTGACGCGGCTCGAAAAAACATGGCATAGCTTTTCACAGTGCAGCAAACTGGTCCTTTTTTCTTTACCGCTTTCTTCTTCGTAGCCTTTGCCTTTAACTTCACATTCTGACCACCTTTTCCTTTCTTCCACCTTTGCCTTTTCCGTAACCTCGTCCTTATCCTTTTCGTCGTCCTTTTTCCCAAACCTCGCTTCTTCCAACCGTAACCTTTTCCTTTGTCTCCTTCACCTTTTCCACCTTTTCCATGCTTTCCACCTTTGCTTTTGTCACCTTTTCCTTTCATGTTCAACCGATCTAGCTCCATTGGGAGTGGTCCTGTGCAATCCTTGTTGTGTCCACTTGCTGTTGGTGCTTGGACGCTTAATGATCCCAATATGTTCTCTGCTGACCATGTCTGGTTGCTTCTTTCGTATTGCAGTAGCTTTGTCCTTAGCGCAGCATACGTCGTCTTCTCCGAAATGTCAACCATGATATGCTGCTTGAGGTGGTTCGGTATTCCTTTGAGAAGTGTTCCTATCTTGAGGTTGTCATCATACTTCGTTGAGCTGATTTTTTCGTTCTCTGACACTAGCTTCCCACATGTCAAGACGTAATCCATCAGCGATGCTCCTTTGCTCATTGCCGGGAATCCAAGCAATGCCTGTGCCATGGCTAGACTCCGTGATCGGGAGCTTGGCTCGAGTTCAGCTTTCAGCTTTCTCCATACCTCGAACCCGTTCATGTTCTCAACACTTCTGAGCACTTTCAGTGGTCTGTTTCTCAGGTAACTGCTCAATACCGAATACAGCTTCATTCCTCGAACTTTCCTTGCATCTTTTCCTGCAAAGAATGATCCTGCTAGCTTGATCTCGTTCTCCTCATCTTCAGCTGCTTTCAGATCATCCATAAATCCTTGATCCATGAACGCTAAGAAGTTCTTGAACGTAAACGCCCAGTCGCTCCATTGCGACACTTCTTCTTCCAAAGTTCCGGGGCTAAACACTTCTGGCGCTTTGAGGATCTTTCCTCCTGTATCGAACGTCGTTGTTGAGGGTTCTGCTGGTTCGCTTGGCGCAGAAGGTTTTGCTCTTGTTCCTGGAGCTTCCAGTAACCTTGTAAGCGCACCTGTCAGCTGCTGCTGCTGCGTTGCTGTCTGAGCTGCTACAGTGGTCATCGCTTCCGTAGCTCTTCCAAGGTTCGTCATCAACTGATCAAACTGCTCTTGCTGCGTAGGCTGTGGCCTCGGTTGTGGCTGTTCCGTTGGCTGCGGTGGTTGCTGCTGTGGTCCAAATTGACCTTGCTCTTGTTGAGACATTGTTTCTGCAATCCTTCACTTATTCCGAATTTTCCGTTGGTTGGCCCGAGGTCTTTTCGCTTCGACGTCTCTTTCTTCCTCCGGCAGGATGCTCTCGGACTTGACTTAACCTTAACTTCCTGCTCACTCTCTCTTTGTCTCTTTTCAACCTTTCCAGCTCGCAGCTGGCTTCCCTGGATCTTTGCTTAATCAGCTGCTGGTCTTCACCAACAGCTCCTCTACCATGAAAGTTTAAAACCTTTTACCAACGTCAACTTCTAATCCCTTGTCAACACACGGGCGGCCCACACTATTTTCCCGCTGGGCTTGAGCCGTCGTTTGACCTACGGAGACACGCAGTGAAACTAGCAAAATTGGGCATACAAAGGCAAATTGAAATGTTTGTTATCCATGCACAAAAACCGTGCATGGGTCCCACCTTGCCGTTCGTTTAAACTTTTAAAACCTAAACGGGGTGTGGACCCGGCTCTAGAAAAATGGAACCCGGGTGGACCCAGGTGGGACCCGGATGGGCTGGCTTGCAAAATATGGGTGACAACCAGATGAGACTCCTTGTGTGGGAAACACGGGACCCGGAGACACCCAGATAAGCGGGGATCGGTAACGCAGAAGGTGGGTGGATGGGCCCAGTGGGACCCGGTTGGGACTCCTGGCAAAAAATGGGACCCGGTAACTGCCCAGATGATGTGGCACGAGAACCACACGTTGATGTGGCTTGAAAACCACACGTTAAGTGGCCTTGATGTGGCTTCAAAGCCACACGTTTGTGGATCTGATGTATTACAGGGGTCACCAGAAGCCTCGGACCTGAACGAACACGGGCGCTGCCTTTCTTCTTTCTTTACTACAGAGGATTCGAAGCCGGAGCTGGCTCCAAGTCCACTTGCTGGAGCTAGAAAAAGGCTTCAACAAGCTTCGATGATCTTGCAAGCTATTGGCTGTTGCTGACTCCATAGATCTTGGCAATCCTAGACAGAAGCCTCGATGATCTTGTCGCAGCGATGCATCCTAGTAAAAATCAAAGATCTCGATTGGCTTAAAAAGATCCTCGAGATACCTCCATGACATTGCAAACTGACACTGATCTCCAGTGGATATACAAGCAGGATGAGCCCAAGAAATGATGCTGCGGACGACCCCGTTTCTGGGCCCACGAAACGAAAGCAATTCTGGCTTCGCCACAATGGGCCTCCCCAGGAAAAGGAACCCATAGATCGATCCGATTCAGCCCGAGTAAGACCTCGAAAGCTCAACCAAGCTGGCTTGGAGCTGCAGAACGTCCGGCAGAACCAACTATACAGGTTCTACGGCACCGCAGGCTCCACTAGATGTAGATCGCCTTCGGTTCGGACTTCTTCGAAATCCTCTCAGCCGACTCCACAACCGGGCCCCCTCTGCTGGTTGGAGTCTAGAGCCGGTCTCCGTTTTGGTGCGCGGGCCCATCCGTCGCCAGTTCTATTTTCCGGTGCGTTTTTTTCGAGGAATCACACCGCCTCTTGTGGCCTGCAAGAGTCGCCCGCAGGGCTTCAGGATGAAAATTGTGGACTTTGCCGACAACGCACTTCAGCTGTGATCTCGATTAGTCGGTGTGTGGTGGCTTTTCCTTGACGAGCTCGCAGGGCTGCAGTCTGACTACTTCAGTCTTCCTGTCGGGCGACAGTGCTGGAGTGCGGCCGTTTCTGTCTGAACTGTTTTGGATGGAGGCGTGGCAAATCGTCGGTTTGCCTCTTGTGTAGACATTACACACGACACGACTGCTAACTGTGTAACTGCCAATCGCCGCTATGACGAGACAAGAAACAAAGGCAATTTCATGCCACGGCCACGGGCTGGTGTTTTGCAAGCTCCGCAGTTTCAACACATCAGAAAAATCAACAACAAAGCATTTGGTGACATGTTGTGAACATTAGTACAATATTCACAACTTTTATACCATCCAACAGCAATGATCCGCTGTTTCCAATGAGTCTTTTGTCAGCTGGCAGTCTTTTCGACACCAGAAGCAAGGAGCTGTAAAAGTTCAAAGGCTTCCAGACTAGACACAGGAAGGGTTTCCGAGTCACTGGCGGCGTCACAGGTCCGCGGCCCAACAGTGGAGGGAAGCTTGTCAGCTACGATTCGGATTTGGATTGGACAAGAAGAAACTGCTGCTGACTCGACGCATCTTGAGACGCTGTCTCTGCTGCCGTGTGAACATCTCCGTTTGGTGTCAGCTGCGTCAAGGATTAGAGTTTGTAACTTCTTCGTTCCTGTTCAGTGCTGATGCTTTGTTGTGTGCTGGAAGCGAAAGGCTCCAGGTTCCTAGGGTGCTATGTTCTGTTCCAATCGGTCTAGACTGCTTGCTGAAGTTGCAATTTCACAGATCTTGATGTCTTCGCGTTTTTGGCTGCAATGTGTGGTCAAAGCGCCACATTGAGTTGTGCCAGGTAGCAGGAGACTAGCAGGTTCCCGAATCATTCGTAGAGTGCGACCTGCAGGATCTTGCTATGAGTCGCTGTTCTAGTTGAAAAGTTGCGGAGACCACCCCTTCCCACCGCCATGTGGGTCGGACGCGTGCTGTTTCTGCCCGCGACGCTCGCCAGTTTGGCAGAATCGCTGGATGCCAACTCTTGTGCTGCAGCATCTGGGCTGTTCGCTGGCATAGAGTTTGGGGCCTTTTACGGTTTAGGGCCTTTAGGGATGTTTACTTTGTTTGCGCAGAATCAGCGGTACAGCAATGTACGAGACCAGACTTGGTGCATTGTGGCGTTATGCACAGGAGTCACTGGGCTACCCGGTCTCCATCCCGTGGAGCTTCAACGGGAAGTTGGCATGCTTTCAGATCTCGCTTTAGAGTTTCAGCTTTTGGGTTACAGAGCAAAGAGATTCCAAAGAGATTCCACTGGTTCTGTCGCTTGATTTTGCAGGAACGCATGGGAAACACCTTCGACGAACTCCGGAGTGTCTTACTCGTATCCCACATGGCGCGAACCGACAAGAAAAGACCATGCTGGAATGATCCTCATTGAACCAGAGCTTTGGCTGGCTTTTGGAACATTTTTTCCATTGTTGTCTGTCTGCTCTTGACTACATGCCCGATGCTTGCGGCAAGATTGTTACTGCAAGTTTGTGACATGCCCTAAACCCTAAACCTCAAACCGCTTCGGCTGCAAAACAGTCCCGGAGCTGCTACATGCGAAGCTGAGGGGCAGGAAGATGCGGGCCACCTCTCCGTCGGACACCAGGGCATCGCGACGCGATTTCATCTGTCACAAGTCCCTGGACCTACCTCTGGGATTGAGAGATTAAGGGTTTAGGAGTCCCAAGAGCTGTGTGCCTTCTTTACCCGAAGCACGGCTTTAGCAGCCTTCTGTTCAGGTTCGCATCTTGATGCCAAGCCACCACCAAGTGGAAGGCATGATGCTGCCCATGGAAATTCAGTTCGTGCACGGATCACCCATCACGTCCTCGTCGTGGACGCCGTCAAACTCCTTCCTCAAGTTCTGCCACCACGCATGGAAGATCTATCTAGCCCCTGCTTTGAGGCTCGCATGCGCCGAAGTCCTTTTTTGCACTCCGTGTGATCTAGTTTGCGGGATGCCTAGGTCGGTGCATCTGATGCCAAAGCCGAAATCGAGTGGCGAGAACTCCGCAGGATCCATCGTCTCTGTTCTCATCCAGGAGGCGATGGAGTCCGAAGCAGAAACACACGGCAATACAGGAGATGGTGCACAGTTCGGAGAGCTTTTGGCGAAGTACGACATGGCCTCCTTCGACCCACAAAAGTTGCTCGATTCCGCCGGCCTGCGCGGGGTGCTGCTCTACAACCAGACCTCAAAAGAAGTTGAAGCGTGCAGGAACGTGAAGTGGCTTCTGGCTTCCGACGTGGTGTCCGTGCCTCCGACGGTCCTTGAAGCCTTCCGAGGTTCCATCGCTGGCTCCACAAAGTCCCCGAGAGAGCACATAGGTCACAGTCTCAGTGGGGAGGATCTTGAGGCGTTGGTACTCGCCCCAGAGGCGAGTTCGCTCTTCGTGGGATGGACAAGATTAGAGCTCTACCACAGGGCCGGGGCCTATGAAACGGCAGCGATGCTTTTTACCTTGGCCTTCGTGTTCCTGGCCGTCTGCATGCACCTCCTCCGGACTGACCCGACTCCAACGCCTCCTGTGCTGCTCTTGACCCGACAGTCTTTCACGGGCATCGCACTTCGATGTGTTATGTGGCTCTTCGTCGTCGTGTACTTCATCGGCATCATCTGGGTCCCCCTCAAAGCGATGGGGAGGGCGAGTGTCTCCACTGGCCTGCCGTGGGAAGCTCACCTGACCTTCTTTAGTTTCATGATGGCTTCCCGGCTTCTGGAGCTCTTTGTCCATGCGCTCTGTGGCTTCTCGAAGGAAGTCACCAGCTTGCCGACCATTCTCATGAGGGTCTTTTTGGGCACGCTCGCGGGTGCCGACGTGTACACGGACGTGAACTTCATCATGATCGCCTACATCAGCGGCTGGCCGCTGTGGATTCTCGCTGCCATGGTCTTCGTCATAGGAGTGCTGATCTTTCAGTTTGCCCTTTACTTTGGTGCAGCCATATACTATCTGTTCATGATCTCAAAGACGGAGAAGAAGGACCAGAAGGACACGGATTGGCAAAACTACGTTTCAGCCTTGCTGAAGCTGCTGCACTTCGAGTCTTTGATTGTGGACATCGATGAGGTCAAGCTGGACGGCCAGGCGGAGGAGGTGGAGGAGGAGGAGGAGGCTGAGGAGCCTGAGACTACTCGTCTCGAACGGCATGGCACCTATCAGCTCTTGGAAGAACATGATGACACAACGGACTTTCTCAGCAGATTCGACGACTTTCGTCGGAGCATTTCTGAGTGCTTGCATGTGAGGGTGGTCGATTCTGGGTCGCTGCTTGTCGATGGCTTGTACATCGCAACGCCTAGCTGGACAAACGAAAACCCAGAGTGGAAGCACATCAGCAGCGAGATGGTGATTTCGACCAGGCAAGTTTTCAACAGCAGCACCTTGAAACCCGCAGCGAAAGCCTGAAATAGTCCAAAGCCTGAAACTCTGTCGTCCAACGCAGGTTCTCCGAAAATGGGAAATGGCAGCTGGGAAGGCCTGCAGATGACGAAGTGATCTTTGAGATGCAGAGGTCCTTGCCTGTTATACCAGAGGGAGTGTTCGCACCCAAGAAGGGTGGGGCACAGCGCCCCTATGCATACCTGGAGTTTATCGACATTTTGAAGCTAGAGGCTGCTCTGTTGTCAGCATCTTCCATGCGACAAAGGAAGATCAAGTCCTATCTAAGTCATAGTTTGAGGCTCTCTGCCCGCAGCTGGACAACCTTGGAAACAAAGCATCCATATTCGTTAGAAGACGCCGGAAAGAATACAGTCGAAATTCCTGGTGCACAGAGACTCTTTGTCGTGCTTTCGAAGAAATCTTGTTGCTATGACAGTGCCACGAAACTCTACGTCCAAGCAGCCCGCGATTCCGATAGTGACGATGCTCCGAGGTCTTGTATGATGTCAGGCAAGAGCTTCGAGAAGCATTTCGTTTTTGTTGATGGGAGTTCTGTCACCTTCCACTTCGAAACGGACGACGATGGCACAGATCCCGAGCGAAAGTTCGGTTACCGTGCTTTCATAGCTGCCGTGAATGATGAGTTCGAGAGCAGTGATATCGAACCGCTGTTGAAAGTGCTTCCAGAGCTAGATGCATGTGCAGACACGGCTGGCAGGAGGGCACAGGAAGGAACAACGGTTGACCACATTCTGCAGGAGTGCAGGAAATCTTCCAAGCTGGAGAAGATGAGGCCATTTCTCCTGGAAATTCCTGGCTGGGTAAACATGTTTGATCCTTCTGCTGCACGTCGTCTCGTGCGACTTGTTGCAACCATGTTGGGCGCAAGCCAGAAGGCAGCACACAGCCTCAATGCTACCTCTGGAGCCAATTCTTTTGCTCACACGCGTCGGATTGTCACTTTGGCAACGACCTCGCTGCGGTTCTTCTGTGAAGATGCATTGCAGGCAATCCTTCAATTGATGTACCTTGTTGAGAAGCGCTATAATAGAATGGTGCCTTTGCTGAACATGTGTCAGTCTTCGCATGAATGCTTGCGAGTGGGTCAGTCAGTAGTAGTTCTGCTCACCTTCACATTGCCTTGTAGTGCTGAGCCCAAGGTTATGCTGTCCATTGTCCTCTCTTGCAGCGTTTCCTTTGGCAACTTTCTAATGGCTTTGCCTCGAAGCTACATCCATGCTGCCTTCAGGCGAGCCTGTCGTGCTCATTATGTGAACGACACCATTACAGCGCCTCGGCAGCAAACGTATTGCTTGTGACTGCCCAGCTGTGTGCTTGTAGCTGTGTTGCATTTGTCAGGTTTCTGGAGCCTTTGAAACGGACGCCAATGGAATCTATGAGCAAGAAGGTGATTATGGCATTTACAGACATCGCGAAAAGTCTTATGCCATTTGCGGCCACTTTAAATTCGATCCTGAGAAGCCAGCCTGCTTGGGCTGGGGTTTGCATAGGATTTCGGACAAAGGAGATATCGATGAGTCTCAGGCGCTGTACAAAGTGAACAACTGGAACGGCTGTGACGAAGCTTGCTTGGAGGCTTTGGTCCCTGTGTTCGGTTGGGTACGGACCGAAGGAGATTCACCGGAAAGTTTTGAGCTCGGTGTCGTCCGCAAAGCTTTCCCGCTTCAATGTGACACGCTCAAGGTGTCAGGATGTTTGGACCATCCCGATGCAGACGGTGTTTATGCAAGTTGTGGCTTCGGTATGTATAAGCACACCACGCACCACAGATACTACATCAGGCGTGTTGCATTGCCCCCGCATGATTGGACATCGCAGTGGGAGCTTTTGAGGAATGAGAACGGTTCCACTTGGACAAGGCTTTTTGTTAACGAGAAAACTTTCAGCATGCGCCACGGTGTGGAGGCCCCGTGGTGGAGTGCCAGTGCTGCAGAGCAAGAGAGTTCAAAAGCGACCCTGGTGGTGGAGCATAAAGACTCGCCCTTTGCGGAAGAGCTGTGTGTGTATGGTGCTGGAAGGGATCTGTGCAATGGGAAGTTCTTTCATTCCCCGTTTGCGCAGCTTGAATCACAGGAGGATGATGGGTCGACGAAAACTGTGCGATTATATTTTCATGCAGATCATGAAGTGGTTCTGACCGACATTTATGGAGACGGCCAGCGCATGTGTGCGATATTAGAGGAAGGTAAGGACGATCCTCCTTACATTAGTCTCGGAAGTCCATCCGAGAGTCCTTTGCTTGTGCAGGATCCCCAAGACATGCCGGCGCCGAGAGTGGTGCAAGTGAGCTGGTAACACTGAGACACAAAGTCTCAGTCTTGTCTTAGGGGTGGAGATCAGTGCTCTGCTTGCAGATGCCAACAGACTGCCAAAGCTTCGCTCGTCCACGCTCGAGCGAGTCGCGGTGAAGTCGTATCTCGGTTTGGCAAAGCCACCGCAGTGCGACAGCAGGATGCATGCAGCCTAGCTGCCTAGCTCTTCTATGACTGGGCGACACCAAAGTGCTGAGTGCTGAATTCGTATCCCGGTTGAGGCAAAGCCTCGACATGGTCCAGTCGGGCCTACAGGTGTTTGAAGAATCCATAAATGGGGCTGTCAGAGCTATTAAAAAGAAGCTCTGAGTATCCTCGCTCTTTGTTTTACGGAGCACGCGCCGAATCTCGCATTCTAGCACAGAACGACAACCCAATTAGTGCCAGCTTGAAGCTGTTTGCTTCGATAATTTCGAGTTCTTTAGAGCTGAAGCGACGGAGACAAAAGCTGCTCGCAGATCTCGCAGACGTAGCCAGAGGGGGCAGTCTGATTCCGATGCGGGTCTGAAGGCACCAGATGCGCCAGCTAAGCTGCTGGCTCGAACTTTGTGGCATTCCTACGACAAGCTAGACAATTCTATTCACTTCGTGCGAGCTTCATGGTTGTTTCATTGTGCCAAGAGGCAAAAGTCAACTGACTGAACCTTGCAATTCGGCAGTCCCGAAATCTTACCCCAATACCCGGTAAGTGGCACCACTCTTTCCAAGCCTCACATTTTTCGAGGCTTTCTGTATTCTTTCTATCCTCACTCGACCCCCAGCCCGCTGCTCGACGATGGATTCCTGGCAGGGGTCCCGGAAGTGTTGCCAGTCTGCCATGGAGAGTCCGTGATTGACCATGAGTTTGATAGCGTGAGAATGTTGTAAGTTTAAATGTTGCATTCTTCCAGTTTGGGGACTTTCGCCCGTAGGATGCTGAGGCCGGTGATGATCATGATGACACTGATAGGAGTGCTGCTGGTAACCATGGTTCAGCTGCAGTCGCTGCTGTTGATGAATGCTGCTGACGACTATGTTCACGGCAGAGAAGCAACAGCTTTTGTCGCGTGTTTGTGGTCGTTGTTTCCGTCGTCGCCGCAGTACGGGCAGTACGGCGATGGCAGAGGTGGAGGTGGAGATGGAGGCAGAGGTCGAGGCTGACGATGGCAGTCATTTGAGACAAGATCCTTCTTAGTCCCTGCTGTGCACTTATGAGCTTCGATTTAGGGTTCCTCGTGCTCTGGAGCCTCTGCAAGCTTCCAAACTCCGACCAGCCCTTTGTGTTGACGTCCTTGAGGCTCGCGGACTGTTTTGGTGGAGAAGCTTTGTCGTCGGCTGAGGGTGTGTCACAGCATTAGTTGAAGGAGCTAGGTGCCAGCTTAAGTTCTGCCAGACGTTGCATTCTGCCTGCGAGCCTAGCCTGAATTCCCATCCTAACCGCCGACGCTCAGGTTGCCTATCCCAGCCGGCCCAGCTTTAGCAATACAGCTTCTTCTGGCATGGGGCTTGGCAACAAAGGACAATTTTGGTTAGCATATTCCACGAAAACTCGGACGGTTGCAAGTGCTTCTGAGTCTTCATCTTCATCGGGAGACAAGAAGCGGAAAGACTTGGCTTGGAGTTTGGAGGGTCCACGGTAGCCGCAGAGAGATAGAAGGGCGCTTTGGTCCCCGCTAGGGATATCTATTGATGCAAGGTCTGCTCCGTTCAAAGACCCTCCGGACCGCATGCATAACCGTGCACAGAATGTCTAAGTGACCAATAGCGTCACAGTTTGATGTGACATGGCTTTTGTCACGAGGAACAACAGAGGCAATCCTGATCTCGAAGACTCGGGTAGTTAAACATGCTGTTTGTTGCTCGAAGCATGTTGAGAAGCGATCCCAGCTGTAGGGCTTCGACTGTTGCCTCTTGTTCATCGTTTTTGCTTTGCAGCATGCTGGGTCAACACAACAAAGATCTTCCCAAGGCTCTAGGTTACAACCCGACGATCTTTGTGAGCAATCCGACAAACTTCGGATTTAGGCAGCCTTGTTGTGTTCAGCCCGATTTATCACATACTCTTTCTCGGGGCTTCCGGCCCAAATGTTACAGGTAGCATGACACGACGGCACTCATCAGCTTGCACGACAGCGGTCCCTGGCCCCCGCAGCTCTTGCGGAGGGTTTTATGACGCTGGATCTCGACCCCTCATGATGCGGCGCGCTGCCGCCCGCATTGCTGAGAAACTGACGTGGCTATGATTATGATGGTTTGCCGCAGTCGCAATTGCACGGGCTTTCATATCTCTTCCGCATTTTGGGCTGCAGAACGTGGTCAAAGCACCACGCTGAGTTTTGTCAAATACCTGAGCAGCAAGTTCACAAATTTAGCACATGTGAACCCGCATGATCTTGTTGTGTGAGTTGCTGGTGCAGGATTGACTGGCATACACATCAAACCCAGAAAGTTTTGGAGACCACGCTCCCAACCTCACGGCCATGTGGGTCAGACGGGTGCTGGTTCTCTTCGCGACGCTTGCCCGCTTGGCAAACACGCTGGATGCCAACTCCTGTGCTGAAGCATCTGGGCTGTTCGCTAGCACAGGGTTCCGGCTTTGGAGTTGACGGTTTAGGGCTGGTTGCTACTTCGTTTCCGCAATCTTCGACAAGCCAGCGCACGAGACCAGACGTGATGCTGCACAGGAGTCAGTGGGCTTCCCGGTCTCCATCCCATGGAGCTTCGACGGCAAGTTGCAATTTTTTGAGATTGGTGTATCGGGTTTAGAAAATAGGGTTCAGGATTTAGGGTTTTAGTCGGGAAAACGAGACACAGCTGGTTTTGTCGCTTGATTTTTCAGGAACGCATGGGAAACTCCTTTGGCAAACTCCGGAGTGTCTTACTCGTATCCCACATGGCTCGAGCCGATAAGAAAAGACGACACTGGAATGTTCCTCATTGAACCAGAGCTTCGGCTGGCTTTTGGAATACTTTTTTCATTGCTTACTGTCTGCAACCCTCTTGACTACATGCCCGATGCTTACGGCAAGGCTTTTATCGCCTGCGAAGCTAAGGGGCAAAAGGATGCAGGCCATCTTTCCGTCGGGCACCGGGGCATCGCGACGCGATTTCATCTGTCACAAGTCCCTGGACCTACCTCTGGGATTGAGAGATTAAGGGTTTAGGAGTCCCAAGAGCTGTGTGCCTTCTTTACCCGAAGCACGGCTTTAGCAGACTTCTGTTCAGGTTCGCATCTTGATGCCAAGCCACCATCTATTGGAAGGCGTGACGATGCCCATGGAAATTCAGTTCGTGCACGGATCACCCATCACGTCCTCGTCGTGGACGCCTTCAAACTCCTTCCTCAAGTTCTGCCACCACGCATGGAAGATCTATCTAGCCCCTGCTTTGAGGCTCGCATGCGCCGAAGTCTTTTTTTTGCACTCCGTGTGATCTAGTTTTCGGTGGCCAGGTCGGTGCATCTGATGCCAAAGCCGAAATCGAGTGGTGAGAACTCTGCAGGATCCATCCTCTCTGTTCTCGTCCAGGAGGAGATAGAGTCCGAAGCAAAAACACAGAGCGAGACAGGAGATGCTTCGCAGTTCGCAGAGCTTTTGGGGAAGTACGACATGGCTTCCTTCGACCCACAAAAGTTGCTCGACTCCGCCGGCCTCAAGGGCGTCCTGCTCTACAACCAGACCTCAAAGGAAGCGGAAGCGTGCAAGAACGTGAAGTGGCTTCTGGCTTCCGACGTGGTGTCCGTGCCTCCAACGGTCCTGGAAGCGTTCCGAGGCTCCATGAAAGGCTCCGCCACATCCCCGACAGGGCACACGGGGCAGAGTCTTGGTGGGAAGGATCTTGAGGCGTTGGTACTCGCCCCAGAGGCGAGTTCGCTCTTCGTGGGATGGACGAGACTGGAGCTCTACCACAGGGCCGGGGCCTATGAAACGGCAGCGATGCTTTTCACCTTGGCCTTCGTGTTCCTGGCCGTCTGCATGCACCTCCTCCGGACGGACCCGACTCCGACGCCTCCCGTGCTGCTCTTGACACGACAGTCTTTCACGGGCATCGCACTTCGATGTGTCATGTGGCTTTTCATCGTCGCCTACTTCATCGGCATCATCTGGGTCCCCCTTAAAGCGATGGAGAAAGCAAGTATCTCCACTGGCTTGCCGTGGGAAGCTCACCTGACCTTCTTCAGTTTCATGATGGCTTCCCGGCTTCTGGAGCTCTTTGTCCATGCGCTCTGTGGCTTCTCGAAAGAAGTCACCAGCTTGCCGACCATTCTCATGAGGGTCTTCTTGGGCACGCTCGCGGGCGCCGACGTGTACACGGACGTGAACTTCATCATGATCGCCTACATCAGCGGCTGGCCGCTGTGGATTCTCGCTGCCATGGTCTTCGTCATAGGAGTGCTGATCTTTCAGTTTGCCCTTTACTTTGGTGCAGCCATATACTATCTGTTCATGATCTCAAAGACGGAGAAGAAGGACCAGAAGGACACGGATTGGCAAAACTACGTTTCAGCCTTGCTCAAGCTGCTACATTTCGAGTCCTTGATCGTAGACATCGATGAGGTGAAGTTGGACGGGCAGGCAGAGGACGAGGAGGAGAAGGAGGCGCCTGACGCTGCTCATGACGACGGTTATGGCTCCTTGTCACTGCCTTCCGGTGGGTTCTCTTATCAGCCATTGACTCAAAAGGAACTTGATGACACAACGGATTTTCTGAGCAGATTTGACAGCTTTCGTCAAAGCATCTCTGAGTGCATGGGCGTGAGGGTCGTGGGTTCTGGGTCGGATCTCATTGACGGCTTGTACGTCGCCACGCCCACCTGGACAAAAGAAAATCCAGAGTGGAAGCACGACAGCGGAAAGATGGTGATCTCCACCAGGCAAGTTTTCAACAGTAGCGCTAGCAGCATTAAGCATCACGGACCCTCAAGTACGAAAGCCTGAGACTTCTCTTGCTTTCCAAGATGCACAAGAATTCAAAGCCTGAAGCTGTGTTGTCCAAAGCAGGTTCTCCCAGAATGGGAAATGGCAGTTGGGAACTCCAGAAGATGACGGAGCGATCTTTGAGATGCAGAAGTCCTTGCCTGTTGTGCCAGAGGGAGTATTCGCACACAAGAAGGGTGGGGCACAACGCCCATACGCATACCTGCAGACGGTCGATGTTTTGAAGCTCGAAGCTGCCTTACTGTCAGCACCTTCCATTCGAAGCACACACAGGAGGATCAAGCACCTTTTGAGGCGTTCTGCACCTTTCTGGACAACTTTGGAGACGAAGCATCCATATTCGGCAGAAGATGCCGGAAAACGCACAGTCGAGATACCGGGTGCACAAAAGCTGCTTGTCGTGCTTTCGAAGAAATCTTGCTGCTACGACAGTGCCACGAAACTCTATGTCGAAGCTCCATCCGATGATTCCCAGCGTGACGGGGAGATGCTTGATTCCGATCGTGACACGCCTGGGACATGCATGTTGTCAGGCAGGACCTTTGAGGACCCTTTCGTGTTTGTCGATGGGAAGGCTGTCACCTTCCATTTCGTGACGGACGACGATGGCGCAGAGCCCGACCGAAAATTCGGCTTCCGTGCTTTCATAGCAGCCGTGAATGATGAGTTTGAGAGCAGTGACATCTTACCGCTGTTGGAAGTGTTTCCAGAGCTAGATGCCGCCGCCGAGACGACAGGCAGGAAGGCAGAGGAAGGAACAACAGTTGACCACATCCTGCGAGAGTGCAGAAAGTCTTCCAAGCTAGAGGAGATGAGGCCGTTCCTCCTGGAACTTCCTCGCTGGGTAAACTTGTTCGATCCCTCTGCTGCACGTCGCCTTGTGCGACTTGTTGCGACCATGTTAGGTGCAAGCCAGAAGGCCGCACACAGCCTCAATGCGACCTCTGGAGGAAACTCTTTTGCTCACACGCGTCGGATGGTCACTTTGATGACGAGCTCGCTGCGGTTCTTCTGTGAAGATGCCTTGCAAGCAATCCTTCAGTTGATGTACTTGGTTGAGAAGCGCTACAACAAGATGGCATCTCTGCTGCAAGTCTTTGCATGAGTACTTGTGTGCGAGTCAATGAACGTGAATGTTTAACTTTGGTGCAAAGATCCCAAGGTTATGCTGTCCATTGTCCTCTCGTGCAGCGTGTCCTTTGCCAACTTTTTGATGGCGTTGCCTCGAAGCTACATCTACGGTGCATTCAGGCGAGCTCGCGGCACTTACTACGTGAACGACACCATTACCGTGCCATGCCTGTAATCGTACTGCCTCTGACCGTTCTCTATTTGATTGCAGCTTTGTTGTGTTTGTCCAGGTTTCTGGAGCATTGCCACCGGCCGCAAATGGGATCTATGAACAAGATGGCGACTACGGCATGTACAGGCATCGCGAAAATCCTTTTGCAATTTGTGGTCAATGGAGCTTCAAGCATGACAGGCCAGCTTCCTTGAGCTGGGGACTGCACAAGATTTCTGACAAGGGAGATGTGGATGAGTCTACGCCACTGTACAAAGTGAATAACTGGGAGAACTGCAACGGAGCTTGCTTGGAGGCTTTGGTCCCTGTCTTCGGTTGGGGACGGACCGAAGGAGATCAAACCGATTTGAGTGTTGTCCGAAAAGCTTTCCCGATTCAATGTGATACACTAAAGGTGTCAGCATGTTCAGGCCATCCCGATGCCGAGGGCGTTTATGCAAGTTGTGGCTTCGGTATGTACAAGCACACCACGAACCACAGGTACTACATCAGGCGGGTTGCTTTGCCCCCCAAAGAGTGGTCATCACGTTGGGAGCTTCTGAAGAATGAGGGTGGTTCCACTTGGACCAGGCTGTTTGGCAACGAGGCAACCGTCAGCATGCGCCACGGTGTGGAGGCTCCGTGGTCGAGTGATACAACTCAAGATGGTAGCAAAGCCACTGTGACGGTGGAGCATAAAGACTCACCTTTTGCAGAAGAGCTGTGTGTGTATGGTGGTGGTAGCGATGTGTGCAATGGGAAGTTCTTTCATTCTCCATTTGCGCAGCTCGATATGGGTGATGGCCAGAAGCAGCCCGGACGATTCTATTTCCATGCGGATCACGAAGTTTTCCTTGTTGAATTATCTGGAGACGGCCAACGAGTATGTCTGATAGTAGAGGGAGGAATAAAGAAAGACGGTCATTATGTCGGCCTCGGAAGCGCATCCGAAAGTACTTTTCTCGCACGCGAACCCGACGACATGCCGCCGCCGAGAGTTGTTCAAGTGAGCTGGTAAAACCTGCCCGGGCTACGACACGGAGCCTTTGTCTTGATCAGCTGGCGTGGCGGAGAATTCGCATGTCCGTTCGGCGAAGCCACACAGTGCGACTGCAGGCTGCACGCAGCCTAGCTCTTCTATGACTGGGCGACGAGTCCTGAATTCGTATCCCGGTTGAGGCAAAGCCTCGACATGGTCCAGTCGGGCCTACAGGTGTTTCAAGAATCCATAAATGGGGCTGTCAGAGCTATTGAAAGAAGCTCTGGGTAACCTCGCTCTTTGTTAGCACAGCACGACAACCCAATTAGTGCCAGCTTGAAGCTGTTTGCTTCGATCCTTTCGAGTTCTTTAGAGCTGAAGCGACGGAGACAAAAAGCTAGACGTAGCAAGAGGGGGCAGTCTGATCCCAAGCCGGGTCCGAAGACATTCCCATGCGCCAGTTGAGCTGCTGGCTCGAACTTTGTGGATTCCTGCGACAAGCTAGACAATTCTACTCACTTCGTGCGAACTTCATGGGTGTTTCCAACTGGCTGAACCTTGCTCCTCGAAAGCCCTAAAATCTTACCCCAATACCCGTGAAGTGCCACGACCCTTTCCAAGGCCACACATTTTTCGACCCAAAATTGCTATTCCCATTCGAACCTGAACTCTGCTCGACACCTTTGGCCGCCACCGCTGAATGCTGGTGGGGACTTCTTGCTGCTCGACGATGGATTCGAGGCAGGGGGCCTGGAAGCCTTGCCAGTCTGCCAGGGAGGGTCTGCGATTGACCATGAAGTAGGTAATGTGAGAATGCTGTGAGTGTAGATGTTGGCATTCTTCCAGTTCGGGGACTGTCACCTGTAGCCCGTAGGGCCGTAGGGTTGATGCTGAGGCCGGTGATGATCACGATGATAGTGTTGCTGCTGTTAACCATGGTTCAGCTGCAGCTGCTGCTGTGCTGCTGGTCATGAATGCTGCTCACGAAAATTTTCACGGCAGTGGCAAGAGCGAGGTGACGGTAGAGGCGGAGGTGGAGATGGAGCTGGCGGGGGTAGTCATTTGAGACAAGATCCGTCTTAATCTCCGCTGTTCGCTTATGAGCTTCGATTCAGGGTTCCTCGTGTTCCTGAGCTTCTGCAAACTTCCAAAGTGCGACCGAGGACACCTCGCCAGCACTTTGTGTTGAAGCCCTTGAGGCTCGCGGACGGTTTTGGTTGAGAGCCTTTGGCGCCGGCCGACGGTTGTTTACGTAGCACATGCTGTCTCTAGCATTCTTGCAACAACGACTACCTAATTCGTGCCAGTTTGAAGCGGTTCGTTTCGATCCTATGGAGTCCTTTAGAGCCAAGGCGGCCGGAAAAGACGAGTTGCCTGCATGCAGTAGGAGCGGTCTGATCCCGAGTCTGCGACTTCGAAAGCGACCTGCATCAGCTCAGCTTGAAGCCGGCTCGAGGTCGGTTCAGACCGCACACTGCCCAGTTCTGCTCTGCCAGAGACTTGGAAACCCGTAAGGAATATTCCTGAAACTTTCATAGGAACCTTAAGTTTTGCTCAGTTCCTACGAACTTCATGGATGTTGGAGTCAGACGCCCAACGGCTCCACGTTGCACCTCGACGACCGCAAACCATGCCCCAAAGTCTTGCTGAAAGCTCAATACCTCGCAAGTGGCAGCATTTTCTTTAAGGCCTCGAAGCAAGCATAAAGCCATGCGAGGCTTTACAGCTTCATCCTCCGTGTCCCATGACAGTACTTGACCCTAAGCCCTACTGGAGACACTGAAACCACAACCCCTGAATGCTGGGGGCTTCTCGCCTCAAAGATGGGTTCGTGGCCGGGGACCCGAGATAGTTTCGAGTCTGCCATGGAACCGACCGTCAAGGGGTGGAGAGTCTAGGACGGACAGGTATGATAAGCATGAAATGCTTTCGGTTTGCGGCTTAAGAACTTTCTCTTGCAGGCTGATGTTGAGGTAGGTGATGAGCTCGACGATGGTGATGGTGTTTGCACACTGGTAATGATGATGGATGACCATGTTGCTGGCGGCGGGTGGTGGCTGTATTGATATCGTGAACAGAACATGTCGTGGAGTTGGCCTTCTCAGTAACAGCGCGGGATTCTTTGGAGTCGCAGACAACGTGGTGGTCGTCGCTTCGGTTAGGAAAACTGGCCGTCTGTGGTTGACCGAGGACACCTCGCAAGCGCTTTGCGTTGAATTCCTTGAGGCTGGCGGGCTGTGCATGGGACCGGGGCGGCTGGCATGTGTTTGCGTTGCGTGAGAGCCCTACGAATGGTTGGGTCATCGCATCAGTTGTTGGAGGCGTCTACTCAAGGTAGTCCAACCTGCTTAGACTCGGCAGGGCAACGGACGTGTTCAGGGATGTGAACCCTGGTTTCGGAGGCAGTGTTCAGCTCACTTTTGTCGTTGTGGTTCTTCTGCGTGTTTTCGCGCGCCCGCATGCTTGCAGGACGGACCCTGGTCCATCCTCACATTCGACGAGGCCTTGAGCCTGTTGGCCCCGAGCTCTCGCTAATCTTGATGCGTTCCTTCAAAGCATGGACAGTACTGAGGTCATCAGTTGCTCCTATCATTAGACTTCTTGCGTTCGGGAGTGAAATATGCTGCATTGCCCAAATTGCCAACAAGTCCCAAACTCTGGCGCCATCATGGAGCCACAAAACCCGAGACCCCCAAGATTAGGGCCGCTGAATCGTAGAAGCGAGATGCCGAAACACATGTCCGCTGCTCAAGCACTCAAGCTTTCAGGAAAGGGTTGATGGCCTTCGCTGGCGCCCTTGAGCTCCTTCGGTTTGGTCACCAAGGGCTTACCTCGAACCTTTGGGGGCTGGCTTGCCCTTTTTATTGCACTGCACCCTCTACAGGTTCCTTCGTGGCTTTCCTGCTGGGTGGATATATTTTGGGCTGCATATCCGGGGCTCTGCTGACCTACTGGGTTATCTGCGAGAAACTGACTGTTCCCAAACCTCAGGCGCAGGAGCCTGAGCCTACACCTCCTCGTCGGAGGAGCAGGCTGGCAGGATACTTGCATGAGTGACGAAGAGGCCTGGGACCTCTCGTTGCAAATTGAGGGGGTCACCTTAAGGCTTCGGGGTCTTAGGCTAGGCACCCAAGCGCCCCCCAGCCGGCAGGAACTCCTTTCTCCTTCAGGCTCCCAGTCTTCCTTCTCAGTTGTGTCCACGCCTCCCCGGCCTACCGCAGAGCCTTCCCTGGCCCGTGTGCATTCCGCTGGGCGGCCCTCCTCGGAGCCCTCAACGAGCCCTAACCCCTTGCTGGCCTTCGGGCCCCGTGCAGGTGATAGGCGCCAGTCAGGTTCACTCCTCCTCGTCTTCCTTCCTCCTCGGCTGCCGCCGTGCCAGAGTACCCCTTGCCCAGGAGAGGCCCTTCTTTGGACTTTTCCTCGCGTCAGCGCCTGGCTTTGGGCTTCCCGACGCTTCCCGACTCCTGCCTTGGACTTTGCCTGACCGGATCGGACCTTACTGCAGCCCAGCGTGCTGAACGAGCGTGGCTGGCGGGCTGCTGGGCCGGAGCTGTTTTGCGAGCGGAGGTGGATAGGCCTGATCCGAGCCCTGCTGTGGGCCTTTCCTCGCGCTACTACTGCATCTTGCGGGCTCAGGGTCTCGAGAGCCCCTGTGTGGTGTCATCGTTGGCCGCCTTCCGGCGCATCGTTGGCCCCGACTTGGGCACCTCCGTGACTCACGGTTTTCTGGCTTGAGCTACCCCACGTCTCTCTCACACTGACATGGACTTTCAGGCCTTGGCCGCTGTGGAGGCCGGCGCTGTTGAGATTGTGGGTTTACCTGGCCGGTTGCCGCGCCAGACCTGGAGTCGTACCAATGCCTGGGCTACTGTATTATGAAGCGTCGTTCTGGATTTTTACTCTTCATGCTGCTACAACTCAATCCACACGGCTGTAATCAAGAAATGCTGGACGAACGAGAGATGAATTCAGGCGTTTGGGATTTAATGTGTCGTTTATTTTTAATTAAATTAAGCGAAGCATGAGCCCCACGAATCCAATCTCTACTTTCTTCTCTTTCATTAAATAAATCCGTGAACAAGATCCCGATGCATGATTATAACCTAGATCCAGATTCTTTTATTCCTTTATAATTAAATCCTAAGTGCTCACTCTGTTCCCTTCTTTTACGTTGGGATAATGTGGATTAATTAATTCGCTTTTCCTTCTCTGTGTTTCTTGCTTATGTTGGAAATGAGTGGAACGGAATGAGCGAGAAGAGGAGAGAATATTAATTGAAGAGAATACAAAGGAATGTAATGAAAGGATGAATTTAAACACAACACTTTCCTCATTCACCACTCATCCAAATAATCCAAATCACCTGTCATCAACGAACGACCTTTGTAGAGATTGGTTGGTATGTGTTAATTTGAATGAACGACAAAAGACGTAACTCATGAAAAGAATGAACAATTAGATAAAAATTAGCCTTTTGGATCCTGAATTCGTTTCTCACATGCTTCTAATCCACCACATTCCATTACAAAGGATTATAGGTCGGGAATCTAATGCATGAATCTAGGTCATCGGGATACAACTAATTAATTATAACTAAATCCACATGTACCAACACATCCATGCCTGGCGGTTCTTCCTTAAGTAGACGACTACTTCGGTTTGAGCGTCGAGCCTGCCTCCTTCGTCCCTGGTCAGACCTCGGGCTCCTTGAAAGCAGTTCAGCGGGCCAAGCGGGCCTACGCCAAGGACACCATCCTTGGGTCTGATGCCAAGGATGTCCTGAGCCAGAGGGTTTTCAAGGTTGCAGGCGCTGCCATCGACAGCAGCCGGGAGACGGTCAGTGAAGGGATGACGGTCATCGGTGCCCCTGTTGAAAAGAGGTTCGCTTTGGCCTCCGCCTCGGTCAGGGCCGCCACTTTGCCGGTCATTAGCGAGGAGCTCGCTGACATGTTGTGCGGCTCCTGGGTTTCCTGCCTTATGTTCCGGCGCTGCCTTATGTCGGTGCTCGACCGGCTTTTCGGTTTGGGCTGGTCCGGTCCTGCTCCTCCTGAGTCGTCAGGTGCCTTGCGACATCTTTCTCGTAAGGCCGCCGGAGAGCTGCAGCTTCTTGCGGTGTTGGCGCCCCTTGCTTGTTCAGACCTGTCGGCCGAGCCCTTCCCAGGCGTCTTCGCATCAGATGCGTCCTCCTCGCACGGTGCTTTCTGCGAGCTGCCTCTGCCTGCTAACGTTGCCTTGGACTTCTGGTTGGCCTCCGATTTCAAGGGTCGTGCGGTGCCCTTCGAGCACCCAGTTCCGAAAGCCAAACCATGGGCTTTTGACTTTGACTTTCTCGAGGTTGGCTCCCTCGGAGGCGTTGTTGCTAGGCTCATCGAAGCCAAGGGCTTTAAGGTCGGCCCGCTCATCACCAATGAGCGCTCCCGCCAATACGACCTTGCCTCCCCTGACTTGAGGGAGTGGGTGCTTTACCTCATTGCTGAAGCCGGCCTCGGTTCTCTGCTCCTGGCGCCGTCCCTGCCGACCTTCTCTCCCGCATACCTTCCGCGGCGCAAGTCCAGTGACAGGCCTTTGGGTATTGACAAGACTGAGCCGGCCACCGCTGCTGACAACAGGCGTGCCTTGACCGTCTTGGCTTTGTTCGCCGCTGCTGTGCGTTGGGGTGTTCCGGTCGCCCTTCTTGTCCCGGCCTCCTCCTTTGTTTGTTGGGTCTTTGCCTGCGTGGGCCTCCGTTCGGCGTCTGACTGGGGTCACCGAGCAGATCTTCTACTTCAGCCGCGGGCCCGATTCGCCCGTCCAGGCCCGTCGGGTGCTCTCCTGCAGCGTTGGGGATCGGGGCTTCGATTTCGGCTCAGGCTTCGTTTCGAGTCACGCCAGCCCCAGGCTTGCCCTGCCTCCTTCCGCCTCCAAGGTGATTGCTGGGGCCTTCGCTTGGGCTTTGAAGACTGCTGTCCCTGGCCCACCTCAGCCAAAAGGCGGCCTCGAGAGTGTCGCCACCAACGACCTGTTGTATGCAAACGGCTGGCGGACCGTTGCAGCTTGGAGGTGGCCAAAGCCTCAGCATATCAACGTCCTTGAGGCAAAAGCCGCCCTTGCCGTCGCAAAGGACCTCCTCAGGAGAGGTGGGGGTCTCAAGGCAACCATCCTTTCCGACTCGGCCGTCGCCCGCGGTGCCGTTGCCAAGGGTAGGTCCTCCTCTTCTCAGCTCAGGCCGGTGTTGATGCAATTTGCTGCTTACCTCCTTGCTGGAGGCATCTACGTTGGTTTGCTCCATGCACCTACGCGCTTGAACGTGGCTGATGCTCCTTCTCGCCAGAAGCCTCTGCCCAGCCCAGCGCACGAGTCCCTGATCGCTGACCTTGGTGCCGCCGAGCTACCTTCGCTCCTTGGACTTAGCGGCCTCTCTGCCTCTTCCTCCGGCTGGGTTCGCCTTTCCCTCCTCCTCTCCCTTAGGGTAAATAAGGTTAGGGGTAGTAGGCTGCTTGAGGCACTGCGCCAGCCTCTTCGGAAGGAGATGCCCATATGCCGACGGAGCCCTCCTGCAGGCTCTCTGCTGGCTTTTGACAGCACCCTGGGTTACCCGGGCGAGGGGCCGATAGTCCCTCGCAACGCTTTGGATGCGAGGCGCCAGCGGAGCAGAGTACAACAGCAGCTGCCAGAGGGTCGAGTGATCCTGGAGAGGACCTCTGCAAACAGGCTCTGGCTTGTTGGCCTTCTCGAAGCGTGGTTGCGGGAGAAGGGGCTTCATCCTGCAGACTACTGGGACTTGCTTGCCGAGAGCGTCGCCAAACTTCTTGCAGAGTACGGCAGGGAGCTTTTCGACGCGGGGCGGCCATACTGGCATTTTGCAGAAACTATAAACGCCACGGCAGGACGCAGGCCTGCGATCAGACGACAGCTTCAACAACCTTGGGACCTGGCTTTTTCGTGGATGAGTCTGGAGCCTCACACACATCACGTTGCAATGCCCTCTGTTGTGTTGCTCGCTGTATTAACAGTCTGTTTGGTCTGGGGCTGGCGAACGGAGGCGGGTATTTTCGGCCTATCCTGGGGAGCTTTGCTCCGTATAGGCGAGGCTGCCAATGCTTCACGGTCTGCTTTGATACTGCCGCGCGATGTTCTCTGGACCCAGCGCTACGTATTACTTCGGATCGAGGAGCCCAAAACCAGGCTCAGAGCAGCGCGGCACCAAGCTGCAAAGCACGAGCCGGCTGACCTCGTCGAGCTCGTCGACGCCGCTTTTAAGCACCTTGCGCCCTCCTCGCGCTTGTGGCCCTTCTCTACGCAAACCTTGAGAAGAAGGCTGGACAGCGCCCTGGAGCGCCTGGGAGTGCCTACAGCGCGTACCGACAAAAGGCCGTTGGATCTCGGATCCTTCCGCCCTGGTGGGGCGACCCACCTACTGCAGATCGCGGAGGACTCCGAACTTGTCAGAAGGAGGGGCAGGTGGGTGAGTCACAAAGTGATGGAGATTTACTTGCAGGAGGTCGCTGCTGTAACTTTCTATCCTTCGCTTTCTGCAGAAACAAGACAGAAGGTGTTGCAAGCGGCGAGTTGCTTCCCTTCCGTACTTCAGCATGCCCTGTCGTGGACTCGGGACAACATCCCCACGCAGGCCTGGTACCACCTTTGGCGATGAGCGTTGCCATTTGCACTGGTAACAATGGGGACAGATGGGTGGTTTCTCTTTCTTTGTCACGACTGCCGCTCTTAAGCTTTTCAAGACGGCACCGGCTGGAAGAACTTCCCAGCATGCTGCTTGTGCAAATGGACGAAACTTCTGGCGGAGCAAAAGTGAGGCGCGAGCTTTTGAATCGTAGAAGCGAGATGCCGAAACACATGTCCGCTGCTCAAGCACTCCCACCTCTCCCTCCCGGCTTGTCGCGGGTGGTTTCTCTTTCTTTGTCACGACTGCCGCTCTGAAGCTTTTCAAGACGGCACCGGCTGGAAGAACTTCCCAGCATGCTGCTCGTGCAAATGGACGAAACTTCTGGCGGAGCAAAAGTGAGGCGCGTGCTTCTACATTATAGTACCCTTGTAGATCCCTTATAGTAACCCTTATGCCCTATAGACCCCTTTAAAGGAGCCCCCTGTTCTAATGATTAAGGCCCCCACCTGAACCCTCCTCTTCATCCCTGAAGGCGGCAGCTGATGAAGCGGCGAAGTGGCTGCAGGCTCGCCCCTGGCAAGCCGTGTGATGCCTTTTCAGGTTTAGGGTTTAGGGTTTAGGGTTGGGTTAAGGATTTAGGGTTTAGGGTTGGGTTTAGGGTTTAGGGTTCAGGGTTTAAGGTAAAGCTGATGAGAAATGTCATACATCGTCATAAGCCAAAACAGTCAGGAGCAATGCCAGCAGTGGCAATCATAGGGGTCCCAAGCGCCTAACGAGCAGTAAAGGCATCACACTGCGATTTTCAGCGAGGACAAGGGCAACGCAAGTAAAAGATGGGTATTTCCGAAGAGCCGAAGCACTCAGAGTGAAATAGGGAGCTCGAGGAATCGGAGGGGCAACCAAAGGCTGCACGGGTCGGAAGATAGCAATTGAGATGTCAGCTGACCGACGGCAACCACAACAGGTTAGAGGTGTGATTATTTAGTAACCTTACAGGCAGTGTTGTTAGCAGGCAGCCACCAGCTTTTTGGACAAGGCCGTACCATGAATCCGAAGCCCTGAGCCAAAAGTAATCCTGCAGTAAACAGAAAAGTTGTAGTTGTGATAGCAGTGGCTGATGTATGCGAAATCGTGAAATTTTGCACTTACTGGGCAAGGAAAGCCAAAGTGCTAGCAGAAGTGCTTAACGATCGCAGTGTCAGGGTTTTTTCTCACTTAATATTGCAATGATGCCTGCTTAGCAAAAGGAAATGATATCACGACAAGCAGACGTGCGATCCAACAATGATAAAAGCAGGATGCCGAATGAGGCCCAGCAGTGCTTCGACAGAGCCAAACTTCACCAAGAGGCGGCGATGTTCAGATGTCCATCGCCAGCATTCGCCAACCACATGCCTAGCAGATCATTGCAACATTCAACCTTCTACACATTGCAGGTAATAACCTTTAGCTCTCAAACTCAAAGCTTCGCGTCCTAAACTACTAACCCCCGAAAGCCCAAGCCAGAATAGCAAATTGTTTCTACGCTCTTCAGGAAGCCTTTCAGTCCGGCCCCGCCGTGGACTGAGAAAGTCGGCTGTGCATCTGCTGGTATGAGTCTAAAGAAAATAATGTCTGGCGCCGGCTTAGATGATGCGTGTTGAGAATTTAGGAGTTTGGAGGTTGCCACATTTTCCAAAGTTCCATCTCTATTCACACTGCAGACCCCCCGGAGCTGCAGCTTCCAGCTTTTGCCGGCATCTGCACAATGTCGCAACATCGCCACCAATGCTTGCTCGTAATCTACCTTTTGCAGTACGGAGTGTCCCTGTCACACCACTTCTAAACCGAAACCGTGAGGGCTTCGCCCTGCGCGGTGAGAAGCGTACAACGGCCGCGGTGCCAAGCACTGCAGTGGCCGCGGGCACAGCGATATGGAGCGACACAGCCAAGAATCAGAGTGGAGCTTCCATATTCTTGGATTTGTGCTTCTCCTGTTGGGCTTCGGTTTGGGTGAGGATTACAAAAGCATCAGGTAGCACATTTGGTGGCTCACGGGGTGTGGAGGTCGATGATCTGGAGCAGTCTTTTGGCTTTCGAATGGCAATTTGCTCAGGCTGACTTCTATCACTTCGTCACACTAAACCCTAAACCCCAACTTCTTTGACGTCTGATGCCAAGAGCCATAGAAATCTGCCAGGGCGGATTTTGCATGGCTTCCGTGCGACTCGGAGTCTGGATAGGGGCAGACCTTCGGCAACGAGGGGAGCAAGCGGGTGCTGGTGGGTTTATGTTATTGAAGCCGAAGGCCTAAACCCTACACCCGAGTTGCTGTTACATGAGAGAGTGCACTCTGAAAGATGCAGCCATCCTTTCCAGAAGAAAGAGGCCTTGAACTTGAGCCCTCAATCCTGAAACCTAAACTCTACACCCTCAGCCCTCAACCCCAAAGGCGGCGAAGGATCCTCCGAAGGGGACGGCCATCGATCGCCAGCGACTCGGGATCTCCTTGGCCGTTTGGGCCTCGCCCGAGGCCCCGTGAAACTGTCGCAGGGCTTTGGGTTTAGGGTTTTGGGGTGTTAGGGGATTGGGGTAGCAAAGGCAGTAGGGTTTTAGGGTTCTGGGTTTACGGGAGCCTGTACGAAGTGCTCGGTGTGTCATCCCGTTTAGCGAATACCCTTAAGGCATCACACCTTCAGTTTGGCATTTCGGGTGTGGGGGCCCAAGGCTAGCCAGCGGTTGCGGCAGGCCGCCGCCAGAACCAGTTTAGCACACTGCAGTCCCAAGCTCTTACCGGCTCCGGACCACCCAAGCTGCAGCCAAAACCTCTGCGCCCCAAACCCGATTGCTGACCTCCGGAGTTATGGATGTAGTTGGGACTCCACAGAACCACGGGTACTTTACCCACGGCTCCCTTCGAGCGATTGTTTTTCTGAGTCTGTGGTGAGATCCCCCCATCAGCGCTCTGCAGAGCTTCCGTGGCCAAGGCGGCTGGACGGCGATTGGGGCTTCGGGCTGCGCGTCCACGGCGGAGGCCGCTGAACTACACGTCCACTCCGCATGGTTGCTTTTTTTTTGAGGGCTCCTTTGAGGGTTCCTCTAAGGGTTCTGTAGGGGATAGCTTTTTTTGAGTGCTCCTCATAAAAAGGGTCCTTTCAGGGTTCCTTTAGGGGTTCCTTGAAAGGTCCAGGGAGGGCCCGCATCGGGCCAGGAGCCTTTCGGGTCGAGACGAGGCTTGGAAAGCCCGGGGAGTCCACAATGGTAGTCGTATTCTGTAGCACACTGTAGAGTAGTGCATTTTAGTATATTTTAGTAGTTGTAGTACCTTGTAGAGAATTGTTTGTAGTACATTATAGTATGTTGTAGTACATTGTAGAATTTCGTAGCACAGCATAGCATGGTAGCACCAGGGAAAGGTTGCACTCATCCGACATGGTGCGTTCGAGATGCTGAAAGATGCTGTCAGCAAACATTCGCAGCCCTCTTCCAGGGATGAGTAAACGGTATCCGTATATTCTGAATCAAGGCCGAAGGTCTTATTATGGTCTTAAATCACCCTCAGCCCTAAACTCCAACACCTAAAGTCTAAAGTCTAGGCCTTTTAAGTTTCCCTTGCGGGACCTTGAGAAGACGAGGCCGCTCTTCGACCAATGGCTGTCGCCGGGTCCCTGCTTCGAATTCTGAGCTCCAACTGAGGGCCCCAGCGATTGAACCCTTCAGGGTATACGGTTCAGGGCACATATACACCTTAAGCCTTAAGCCCTACACCCCTAAACCTCAAACCTTAATCCTTGAACTCCTAAACCCCAGTCTAGAGTTCAGGATTTCAGGGGTTCGGTCGTAGAGGTGAACAAGGCTGCGATAACGAGTCTAGGGTCTGGGCTCGAGGGTTTGGAGTTCAGGGTTTAAGCTGTGGGTTTCATGGATACTTCTCGCACTGTGTTAAGCTTATGTGAATTATTTGTCTTGTTCTGAGTAAAGGGAATGGGGAATGGATCCCCTGCACTAGTCCCAATAACTCCTTCCCCAATTCCCTACTAAGAACCAGACCGTTAGATTTAGGACGGGACACTAGGCCTGAGACTCGCTGGCTCAGGGTCCCGAGGTTGAGCGGTGGCGGGTGCGGGACAATCCACCACAGTCTACTATTGTGTTGTATATCATAGCAACAATAATTTTTAGCATGTTTCAGTGTCTTATTTTTATATTGTAGTATATGATGGCATATAGTAGCAAGCTGGAGTCCTCTAAAGATTGACGTCCCAAGCCTGGAAAATCCTAGCTTGAACCCCACATGCCTTTAACTCTCAAATCATGCCGTCTGGCTTTCAATCCAATCCGCATTCGATCCATTCCGAAATCCCGAAGTTGAGTACACATGCCTGTGCCCCTACGCCCCTGTACGCGTGAGGCCCTTTTCCCCTACCCCACTCCTCCTGACGAAGGTCGGTGCGATGGGTCGCGCCCTGGCCCGGGGCGGCGTGCCGTGGCGGCTGCTGAGCGGCAGCGAGGCGCCGGTCTCTTTTCCTTGACCTAGGGGTAGGGAAGTGGAGAGCAGATTCCCATTTCTTGGACGGGGTTAGGGTTCCATTGGGTCTGGCTTGCGGGCTTAGGGTTTTAGGGTTTTAGGGTTTTAGGGTTTAGGGTTTTAGGGTTCTAGGCTTTTAGGGCTTAGGGTTTTCGAGTTTAGGTTTTGGGGTTTAGGGATTGATGAGGTGTTCCGGACTTGGGGTTTCTAGGCCCGGCAACCGAAGGGATGAGCACTAGGCCGTACCCAGGCCCAGAAGGTCGTCCGGCATCCGCAACCCAAAGTCCCTAAACCAAAAATCCAGCAGCTTAAATCTTAAACCCGAGAGAACCAAAAGACCCAAGACCCCAAAGACTTAAACTTAAACCCGAAAGACTTAAACTTAAACCCCAAAGACTTAAACTTAAACCCAAAGACTTAAACTTAAACCCCACAGACTTAAACTTAAACCCCAAAGACTTAAACTTAAACCCCAAAGACTTAAACTTAAACCCCAAAGACTTAAACTTAAACCCCAAACCTC